CATTCCAATTGTGATACTTGTGCAAGATTTTGTCGTAACGAACCTTTTACTGCAAGCTTCATAACAATAATATAATCTCCATAATTATTTCTTGATGCACCTAAACAGTTCAAGAACGAAGGATTCTTGTAACAAACTTCGCAATAAGTCTTCAATTCTTGAATAAATTCTTGCTCATTTTTGTTTGAATCATGAATCACTTTAAGTGCAACATCCCACCACGTACCATTAATATTATCGAACCAATGTGCAACATATACAGTTGCGAATCCTCCTTTTCCCCATTCCTTGATATCTCTAAACTCATCATAATCAATCCAAGATAATTTAAATATCTCATCATCTAGTATTTTCTTAAGCTCAGGATTGATATGTTCTGGTGATTTATTAGTTTCCAAAAGGCTTCTATATTTTGTGAACCAATAATTTGCCTTTTGAATGTCTCTCTTTGTACCATTGCCATTACGATAACATTGAGCAAGATTAATCATTGCTGATTGAGTACCCATATTAGCAGCTTTTTCATAATATTCAAGCGCTTTATTATAATCTTGATCAACTCCTATTCCGGCTTCATAATAAAAACCAAGATTCTTATTCCGATAGCATTATCCAAATCAGCAGATTTCTTAGTATATTCAAATGCTTTCTGGTTATTTATTTTTACCCCAATTCCATATAAATAACAATTATCTACACTATTCATCGCATCCGAATTTCCTAACTCAGCTGCTCTCATATAATACACAAAAGCTTTCTTTTCGTCTTTCTTAACACCGTTGCCATATAGATAATTTTGACCGAGATTATACAGTTGTTCAGAATCTATTTTTTATTTTTTTTTTTATGGAAGAAAAAAATCATGCACTAAATAAATACAAACTTTGTTCGGAGTACATTTAACGTTTAGTCAAAGTAATACAAAAGCTATAACAAAGAATTACTTTTTTGATTAATTCATTAATTGACTTATATCAAAATACATAATTTAATGTTTAGCCGCATGCATATTTGTACATTAGTGTAACAAAACCAAATCAGTCTTTTTCTAAAGTTTCACGAAGCCATAATATTGACAATCCTTTTTGCTGACAAGACATAATTTCGATATCATTTTTTCAATTATTATTTAATCGATAGCAAAATTTCTCGATAAGTAATTTTTAACTACTATTTCTCAGAATATTAAAAACTATAGACAAATTTATATTTCTCGGTGAGGAACTAAAAACCCCACATTTTTACAATGCTACGGAAAAACAGTATTCTGAGAAACTTCTATCAGCGCATAGGCCTACAGAAATATGTCTTACCAGAAGATAAGGATATTATCAGTATTATAAGGTCGTAGAAATGATACTTAAGTAATTGGGCATCGAGATTGAGCAACAATGTATTTTCTATGGACCCAAGGATAGTTTCTCTGTAATAAAATAAATTTTCAATTAATAACGAATTGTGATAAAAATCATATATTATATAATATCATGCATGACTATTTAGATATTTTTAAAATGGTTCGACCACAAATTCACGAAAACAGACCCCGAAAGGACGTAATACCGACAATGTTGGTCGGCATTACAGCTGTTTTCATTTATTTCGGGACATCTGGTAAAAAAAATTGAATTATCAGGCTGTACGATGCACCTAGATTAATAGGTCGGAACTTGATTTTTGATTAGCGGAAAATAGTTTAACCTATCAAGTAAATGAAAAAAAGATGTTCTACGGCTATCTTTTTTATCATAGGGTTGTGCAGATTTACTAAAATTTTAATATCCATCCTTTGGTGAAATTATCGTAGGGATTACTTAAATTAATCGTAGGTCAATAACATAGAGATAACTGCTTGAGAGCACCCTCGATAAGTTTTGATTCAGCAGTGATAACCTTTTGATTTAGGCATGATTAGCATATAGAGATAATGAGATATATCTTTTCGATGTATTCTGAACGATACTACATCCAAAATTAAGCTTTTGCTTGAATGTCCAAAGTTAATTTAATTGGATATTCGGACATAGTCAAATGTCCAAATAAGTTTTTGACCCTTGGATAATGTTCAAAAAAATTATAAGATTAATTGACTTTATTGGACAAATTTAATATTATGAAGGCTCCAATAATTACGTTTATCAATTTTATTTTATTTCATATAGACCTTTTATACACTTTAATTTACAATACTAATTTGTTAATGAATTTCTATTTAAAAAGTGTTGACCTTGGCTATTTGCGTGTTTTCTTTATAATATGTATTTATCATGAAAATTGAAAATAAATTTAATTTGTTGTTATTATCATTTTCGAAATACAATCATTTTACAGTTTCTAGCATTGTTCAATTAATAAAATTTTCCAATATATTTATTTTATTTAATTTATTAGTTAATAAATCAAACTTTATACAAATATTAAAATATTAAAAAGAATTGCCTTTGTTCATAAACAAAATTAGAATGTATGTTGCCAAGTATGATATAAATCATTATAATTGATTTATTAATATATCAAATTTAACTATTATTATTAACTTTAACTTCAAATAAACTTATAATTCTTATTCATTAATTTCCAATTCATTTATTTCTGATTCATCTATTTCCAGTCCTATAGATTAGTATCTATTGTAAAAATATAATCATGTTATTTAAATTAGAATAATTAATAAAATTTATTAATAATTTATATTTACCTTGATGACTATCATTATTTAAAACAAAGTTTTCTTTTATAACTTGTCTTAATATATTTCTAAATACGTTCATTAATAATACTTTGTTTTTGTTTGCCAGATATGGATAATTCCTGTAAAATATCCTCATTATTTTGCCATTCAACAAATATATCATGAATTTCTGCAGCTGATGGCCGGGTTTCTGGATCTTTATTCCAACTTCTTTTCATAAGATCTATATAACATGAAACTGTACCTTCAAGAATTAGCGGTAGCATACTTGTGATCTTGATTGTAAATCAGAATTTTGCTCAAAGGGAACAGGCTTCTCATATAAAAATTTCCACATAATTATGGAAAATAAATAAATATCAGATGCTTTAGTTTATGGTTAAAACTTCTGGAGAAATACTGTATATGGCAAAATTCCATAAACTCCCTCTGGTTCAAAATTTATTTTAATATTTGCTGATATTGAAAGTACTAAGTCTGCAATATATGCACTATATAAGTCACTTTGCAGTATATTTCCACTATGTAAATCTCGGTGAATAAGATCTTGATAATGAATTATTTTAATATCAGAAACAATGCACTGTAAAAGATTTAATTTTTTTCTTCAGCTCATTTGTGCTATATTGTAAAGATTTTCACATAAAGATCCCTTCTCAGCATATTAAAATGACAAGAATATAATCTTTGGAATCTTCATGTTTTGATATACCAAAACATTTTAAAAATGTTGAATTTTTAAGACCAATATCGCAGAATGCCTTCAGCTGTCAAAAAGAAAAAGATAATTTTAATTAAAATAAATATTATAAAATATTTAGTTCTTTATTGTCTTTTTTGTAAAGGATTATGTTAATATTGTAAAACATGGTGTTTGCCATAAGAATATGGCAATATTCAAACCCTTTTTTTTTAAACGAGAAAATTTCTCTTACGTATCTGAAAGAGTTGTAGACAATTATTCTAATTCTAATGATAATATGGGTTTGGACGACTAACCCATAAATTGCCAAAATTAGCCTAACAAATCGCGTGAAATTTCTTCAGACATCTCGAAGGTTAATTACTTATTTTAGCAGAAAGACTGTTTCTACAATTTTTTGTTAAAATTAAAAATTACTTTGTGGGTGTTGCATTTAAATATTACTACAACAATTACCCGTAGTTTACTTTAATAATAAGAATCTCTCTGTTATAATGAAGTGGCCCGCTTCATAGTAAAAATTCATTAATTTTTTTAAATTCACTATAACGAGAGGTTTTATACAGTGGATTTTGAATTTATCCTCATTATATTGTATTGTGAAATTTACTATGATGAGAGCAACTATATTATCCATTACAAAAAATTAAAAAAATACCTCTTTTATAAATTCTTCATTATGATCATTTGATCCATGAAGCAATTTGAGTGCAACGACTTTGTTTATGCCTTGACTATTATTATGCAATATTGCTCGATATACAGTTGCAAATCCACCTTCTCCTATTTTCCTTACTTCTTCAAATTCATTAGAAAGAATCCATATCAATGGATATTTATTTCCAATCAGCAGTTTTTTATGTCATCATCTATATCTGAGTTTCTGAGGATCCATTCTGCTTTGATGTTGACTAATAGATAAATGCAAATTTTAGCCAATATATAATTAGCAATTTTAAATCTAGCAATCACTATAGTAAAATGAAGTGCATTGTATCATTTTGATTAAGAATCATGTTGTAATGATCCTTCAATGCAATATAATTTTTCACTAAGTATCTATAGTTTCAGTTCTAGTGATAATTACCGAAATCAAATCAATACCGGTAGATTACAAGATATTAACATTAGGTTACATTATTAATTAGTTGATTTAACAATTTTATCATTGTTAGAACCGAAAATCTATATTTACCGCATAGCCATAGGTAGAAATAAAGTTTATCTAGCCAAAAATAGGGATAAATAAAAAGGACTTTTGGATAAAATAAAAAAAATACTTTTTTTGAAAACCGGACATTGCTCTAAAGGTTTTACTATAGTTTGTCACTTTTAAATTAAACATTACCTGACGTTAAATTTTTCTCTATTTGATTATTTAACACATAAATTATTAAGTAAATGCATAATTAAAAAAAAAATAAAGTAATTAAAAAATATTTATTCACCTTTGATACCACTCACTGGCTTTCTCTAAGTCTCTTCTTGCTCCAATTCCATTTCGAAAATAATGACCAATTTGTGGCATTGTACAAGCAAGCCCCTTTTTAGCAGATTTTTGATAATAAACGAATGCCTTACATTTGTCTTTTTCAACTCCAGCTCCTCTTTCGTAACAGTAACCAAGGTTATGCAATCCAGCATAATCCCCATATCTGCCAACTTTTGAAAACAAATAACTCCTTATGTTCGTTGCTTTTAACATCAATTCCATTAAGATAACAGTAGCCTAGGCCACGAGTTCCAATAGAGCTACCTATGTCTGCAGATATTTGATAACAAATGAATGCCTTATTTTCGTCCTTTTCCTCCTTCATAACAAACACCAACCCAAAACATTCCTTCAGCATGTTCCATATCAGCGGATTTTCAATAATAAATAAATGCCTTATGTTCATCCTTTTCGATCCATTAACCAAGGCGATAACAATTTTCAAGAATAATTTGAATTGTATAATTGATTTCATTATTCAAGAACCAATTAATGAAATTATTTGGATTTTTCTTCTTTTATTCTAAAAATTGAGCTAAAATTTCTAGAACCGCCAGAATCTTTGCATTTGGAACTTTCTTCATTATATAAATTACATAATTCATTAATAATTTCGCCAGGAAAATCCTTTGATTTATTATCTTCTAAATTCAATTGATTAAGATTATTAGTATATCACTTTTCGCTGCTGTTTTTTATAATTGTATCATTAAAATTTTTGAAATTTAAAAGGATTTATATGTTACGTAAAACATGAAGCACTATTGCTATTATAATTTAATGTATTGATTACTGCATTAATTATTGATATCGATGTGGTTTGATTTTTTTTAATTTTTACGTACCTATTTGCATATTTTCTTTGCGTGTAACGTAACTTATTTTACATTTAATAAAAAAAATTACTAAAGCCATTTCTTCACAGTACAAAAAACATCTCAGAAAGGTCATATTTGGCCAACTTCATTTAAAATAAAAGTACTTCAATACTTAACTATCTATGCTAGACTATCTATGCTAGAATATATATATGTATGAAATTTTTGGAAATAAAAATTTGTGACAAATATGTTTAATATAAATTTGAATTTAAAGAAAAGCTTTATTGTAATTATCTAATTTATACATTACTATCAGTCTCATTATTTAGTTTTGACATATAAATTTAGCATTAATGTTAGGTGGATAAATATGCACCATGCAAATATGGTTTTTTGATGTGAACAGTAAATAGATAAATACTACGCGCTTAATCAAACCTATTTTTAGTAAAGGCGACTACGTCTAAAAGAGTTATTAATTAAATGCATTATTGTGATAAGCTGTAATTCGTATATTGACTAAATCATTAAACCTTTTTTTGATTAATTCATTCTGTAATTTTATCGGTGTTATGAAAATTTTTGTTTTTAAATTTTCTTTGTTATATTTTCTAT